GGCAGTTATATTATCAATTCTTAAGAGTATTCTACATCGCGTTAAATGTCTGGCAAACGTTTTGAGACCAAGAAACGCTGCTTTAAGTTCTAAGTAATTAATGTGCTTGACAACTTCGTCTTTATCCCAGAACCCTCTTGCTTGTTTTTTATTACATACTGCTCCCCAGCCTGTGGAAGAAGCATCTGTGAACAAAGTCAATTTATAACTGGGAACTTTTAAGTTGAAATAACAAGTTTCTATATTTTCTAGCCACCAAATAAGATCGTTTTCAAGATGGTGGGGGATGTGCATGAGTTTCTCAAAATTTCCGTTATGATTTCTCAAGGCAAGATATTTTGCTCTCTCAAATTCTTTGGTATAGAGCCAGCCATAATGTGTCCCAGGACAAATTGATATTAAATGAAATGTTAATTCTTGAGTTGGTTTCAAAAAACTCTTTTCTCTGTTTATGACAAAACCTAACTTTTCTAGCACAACGCATGTTTCACTAATGTTTTTTGAGCAATCTTCTTCATTCTCACTTATGAGCAAAGCATCATCTAAGTAAAAAATAGAGGTGTGCCCTCTTTCCCTCAGATACTGGGTTACTGGTCTTAAAATTTTTGTAAAGACATAAGGCGCTGTAGATAGTCCAAAAGGAAGACATTGAAATTCAAAAATCTGCTGTTCAAATTCGAATCTTAAAAACTTCTTATATTTCTGAGAGATTGGAACCGAAAAATAGGCATCCTTCAAGTCAATAGAGGCTAGAAAACAATTCTCGCTTATTAAATTTTTTACTGTTCTAGTGTCCTCTAATTTAAAATGTGGTGGAGATAAATATGTATTTAGGTTTTTGAGATTTAAAATAAATCTGTAACTGCCGTTTGATTTCTCTCTCAAGAAATAGGACGATAAAAATTTTTCGACAAGCTTTACAGCACCATTCGATAAAAGATTATTTATGCAGTCCGAATACAGTTTTTCCATATTCTTGGGGATACTTCGTGTTTTTGGAGGAACATGTTGGTGAGGCAATTCATTAAACGGAATTTTATACCCCTTGATCCAGCTCAGGATGAGACTGTTGTTGGTTATTTCCTCCCATTCTTTATAAAAAAAACGTAATCTTCCTGCAAAATTAATATAATTCTTTACCTCTAACGGCGCCCGTTCCATTCGTGTTGTTTCTTGATGTGTTTTCCCTTTTTGTAGCAATCTTCTTTGTTCCAAGTGTTTGTCTTGAATGTTGGTTTGTTGTAGCTGTAACTGGGCCTCTTCTTGTTGTCTGTTGGCCGCCACCGGTTCCTCGAGGCATGTCCCTTCAAGTAATTTGAGCTGGTTGCCGTTGTAGACTTCAGTTCCTTTGCTAATGTCTCCAGGTTTTTAGCAGATTTGCATTTTTCTGCAAAATCGTCACCAAATAGCATTGAATCTCTGCTTTGACCCATGGCCACTAATTGCATTTTCTTATTGAAATGTTGGTGCACCATATATTTTCGATGTGTGCTCATTAAGTGATGAATGGAGCACAACATTTTCCCTGCATCGACTAATCCGACTAGATTGGGATCTGGATCTGTGTTGGACTCAACGTTTTGAAGCATGTTAGTCATCACGTTACCAAGGGCAGTTATTGATTTTCCCAATTGGTTTTGTAATGACATAAGGAATTTATCCCTCCTAACGTCTGTTGGAGGAATCATAGCTTCCACTTCTGGGTTATTCTTAGGGGCTTCTAGAAGTGAGCAGTTACTAGGAAAAAGGACGGAATCAAAGATCTTAGTGATCGTTTCTTTATCTAAGCCTTGCATGATGTAGCTAGACCATCTGTTCGCTAAATCTGGTGCTAATTCTGGTCCAAACGAAGTTTTATTGTTTGGATTTTCCCCCAAAATAGTGGATAATTCACTTTTTGCTTCGGTGGTCCGTTCGGTTTGGCGGTCGTCATTACAAATATCTGAATCAGAATCATTGCTTATATCCGAGCTCGTGGTGGTGGACTCGGAGTCTGAACCTGTTGAAAGAAAAAACCTCATGTTTTAGCCGAGGTTTATGAAAGCAATTGATAGAAATAAATGGTAAGGCTACGGAAAAAACCATAAAACAGGTAATAGCCGGATGTCATGATAGGAGATTACATCCACCCCCCTTCCTTTTATGCAGTAGTCCAAAAACCTTGCAATACTATCAAGTGTCATAAAATATGCTAAAAATCATAATACTCCATAATGCAACCAAGCTTATGTTGATCTATAAAAATACATGTGATTAAGACTGGATCGTAACACGAGCCGTCACTGATTACATCGTAAAGAATATTATATGATCCATGAAATTATTTGGTGAATAACACCCAGGCTAGTTTTATTTAACCCTCCATGTTTAGGTAGTAACAAAGAAGATAACCGATCCTAATCATCTGTGAATGAATCACTGTCGACGACCCAGGTAGAAAAACTTGTTTCCGATAACAGCGGTTGAGATAAACATCGTCCTTGACAGCGTATATTTTGTCGATATTTTAGCATTTTGGAGAGTTGGGCACGGAACTATTTGTAAGTACCGTGCGTTTGGCGCGTATAAGTCAGAAACTATACCGGGTTAAATGTGCCTACAAAGTAGAGCAACCCGTGCCAAACAAATTGTACTAATCAAATGATAGTCAATGTCTCTATACTATAATCAGCGGTGAAATTCTAAAATGAAAGTGGAATTAAAAATCATGAGAATTTTATTTACTTACTTGAATCGTATTAGTTCTTCCTCCATTTTTCGCATTTTCCGTTTCAAACGGCATATGGCTTCGAGTTTCCGCTTATTAGCTCCTCTGTTTTTTGGCATTTCCGAACACTAGACACACAAATGTACACGTAGCACTTGGCTCACTCAGCGCAAGAAGTATAATGACGAGGCTTACGGAAGGCGGGAGCTGGGTCGAGCGGGCGGTGAATCATCTTTAAACTTGCGCCACACAGCAGTAAGAGGTACTACTACAGGGTGATCTAGGAGGACGTGTCCAACAGAAGTATAATTTGTTCTCAAAACCCTCGTTAACTATTTCGGTGAAACTGTTTATCGCGGTTGTCGTTTACCTTTCCAGAAACCAAACTCACAAGTATTCAGTAGTTCGTTTCACTCTAGGTGACTACTCAGTTGATCCTTGAAGATGGATCTCGCATGTTTTGGCAAAGTATGGTATAACTGATATGGGGCGGTGATTCGAGAGTTCGTCCACCGATCCTTCTTTGGAAATTGGTATCACTGAATGTTCTTGATCTTAAACAAATATTAATAAGATTTGTAACAGGGTATACGATGATTTTTAGTATTGTTTCAATAATCTTACTATTAAGGCCATAAACATCAGGGCTCTTTTTTTTAATCGAATTGACCGCGTCGCTGACCTCGTTGTACGAAACCTCCCTAAATGCAACCGTAGATATATTATCCGGAGTACTCGTATAATTCAGCCGGGAATTATTTTGTTTAGGAAGCTGTTATAGTGAGTTTTGTGCTACGTTGGTGAAAAATAGATTAAAATCGTTTGCATTCAAAATGGAACTAGTATTGTTTTCACGAGTTGTGCTACTGTTTTTAATTAGATTCCATAACGCCTGTTGTTCGTTACCTGCCGAGTTCACATACCTGTCATTTGCTTCTTTCTTGCTCTTAGAAATTGCTTCTCTATATATATACACTTGCGTGCATAGAAATCGGCCCACTGTGAACTTTTGACATCAACTATATTTTTTTTAATTATTCTACAGATCAAAAAAAGAAATATGCTGTTTGAAAGACAATTTAATATGCTTTAATGTGATTATAAATTTATCGCAACACAACAACGAATGTGACATGATACACTCATCGTAGCTAGCTGAAATTTTGAGGGTTTAAGCTACATGGATTGAAATAGCTTTGACAATAAATTGAATAACGAAATACAACCTCAATTTTTTTACCGTCCTCCAAAGTTGAGGGATGAAAGAGATTTTTCACAAAAAAAATAATTTAATTTTTTTGAGTTGATTTCTGATTAGCTTTGTTAAAAAGTGACAACCGTTGCTAAAACTAACCATTTAGCTCATTATCCCGTATTTTTCGAAATTTCACAAAATTGCAAATATCTCCTGACCTATAAAATTTCGGACCACACATATAGGGGTTCATTCATCATCATGTTTTGAAGCCCTCTAACCACTACTAACTTTACACCCTGTATATGTAGCAAAAGTACCTTTTGTATATATAGCGACAGGATGTCAATATGCTACAAAGTGCCATCTATTACCTGAATCGACCATTGCGAAAGTGAACGGCAGCTATATGTTGGAATTGTTAAGTATATTAGTTAGCGTCGATATCCGAGTCACCACTGTGACCGCTTTATGCTGTCGATTCTAGCGATATAGTAGATGTTGATTTACTAATCATTGAAAAACTTTTAATACTGTCACGTCACCAATGTGATTGTTGGTTGGATGGACGAAAGCAGTATTATTAGTTTTCAATGATGATTGCCATTAAGCACGAAACAGTTGTATACAGTTACCCTTTGTTGGTCGGACCGACAAAAGCAGTGTTATTAGCCACAAGTGCGTGTCCTTGTAGCCATTATCGACGCACTACGCAACCTGGTAGCCGATTGACGTTTAAGGGAATTGATATTTAACAAAATTGTAAGAATGATGCAGGTAGATTTAATCGATTTCTCGGTGCAAAATACTTTTTTCAAAAAATATCGCTGCAAAAATTAATCTGGGCATGAATCGACCTATCAATCCTTTTAGGGTAGAAAAGATTCAAACAAAAAATATGTGATTGAGCCCATTATGTAATTCAAGTGACGGAGGATCAATGAAACTCTCTCTATGTTAAATAGTAACTCAGAATCTGATGTTAAATTGTAAATCAAATCTGTTGCCCTGATGGAAAGAGTTTATGATTGAGGTGAAGCTTAAACATTATTGTGGAACTTCATTGTGAGTGAAAACATTTTGTATTTTAAACTACAGATTCCCATAGCCGCGGGGGACACTGCAATATCTCCAACAACTGAAGCTGCAAACGATGAAGACGAATATGCTGGCGATTTATGTTGAAATAATCATGATTAATAGCGAATAATAGGAAGTAATTTTAGTTCTTCCAGTCAGACATTCCTATTTATTTAACAGTGTGTATTATTATTTGTTGCTTTCAAGTTCTCATGTAAAATATATGTGATTAATATTTAGCTTCCTTGTTTTTTATTAGCGAGACTTTTTGTATTGATTACTATATGTTCATTATCATTTTTGTTTTTGATCAATGACGAGGTTTCGCAACAGGATAGCATTTTGGTTATTCCTGATATTATTATCATTGAAATTTTTGCTAAAGGGGTAAGATATAGCACTGCAGACTTGTTACTTTTCTCATTTTTTTTTGTTTGTCAGTTCAAAGACTACAGTAATAGGCAAAAGTATATAGACTAATTAATATTGTGCTGTATTCCTTTTTTATCTTGTTTTATTAATACACCAACCTTTATACATAATTACATAATTCGTTATAGGATAATACTTATTTATACGTAAATAAATTCATTAGACTCACAAAATTAATTGAAAAAAACTGGAACTATGAAGGTACAAAAATATATAGTCAAAGCAAAACAGTTATAGAAAAAAGAAGCAAAGTTCATTGAATTATAGAAAACCAACCATGATTGTGTTAATATTTTGAAGCATAACCATTATTATCAATCACCGCCTGGTATCGTCTCGGCATAGATTGTAGAAGTTTCTTGATATGAGATTCATCAGTCTGCTCTAAAGCGGCAAAAAGTTCATTCTTGTTTGAATAATTTTTATCTCGTATTTGCTTATCTAAGTATTCCCATAGATTTTCAATGGGATTTATATCGGGAGACTTTGAAGGCCATTTGAGAACTGGTATTTTTTCATCCAGAAAGAATTGCTTTGCGAGATTTGAAGTGTGCTTCAGGTCATTATCTTGCTGGAAGATTGATCTTAAGGGCATATTGTCTTCTATATATGGTAACATAACATGCTTTAGTATGTCTGTGTATACAAACGTATCCATAATGCTATCTATTGTATGTCAAGATCCCATCCCAAACCCCGAAAACCACTCCCAAACCATAACAGACCCGCGTCCATGTTTGACAGTGGGCAAAGTGTACTTGGGGTTCAATCTTTGTCCACTAGGACGTCCAACGTAATGAACACCATCTGATCCAAACATTGAACTTGGATTCGTCACTGAAACATACCCTCTTCCAGTCATAGATGCTCCAATCCAAGATGCAACCGTGCAAATTGTAATCGGTCGTTACGGTTTTTCCTCGAGATTAGCGGCTTCTTACTCGGGCGACGTGCATATAACTTTAAATCATTTCATCTTCCTCTTATAGTTTTCGTAGAAACACTGACTTCCTATTGTCTCGATTTCGGCTTTTATTTGTCTGGGGGTTTTAGACGGATCTTTGGACGAAATTACTTTTATTAATCTAACTGATCTAGCATTTAGTTTCCTAGTCCCACCACTTCTCTTAAAGGCTTCCAAGATACCTTTTTTATATTTGTTTAATATTGCCCAAACTGCTTTAAGCTTCAAATTTTTGGCAATGCCGACTTGACGTTGACCATCTTTATATAACTCAGTGATCTTAGTCTTCACATCGAGAGAAATTTCTGGACCACGCGGCATGGTCTTAAAATCACTCAACTTATTCCACAATACTGGATGAACACAAACTAATCCTCTTCCGACATGAAACTGTACTAAACTAATGTTGAAAAGAATTTGTCTACATATTTTTGTTCCTCATAAAAAAGTGATTATATTCAGACTTGTATTGTGTTCATTGCAGATAATGTAAAATAACGCATTTGTTTATGGAGCAATGAAGTATGAATTCGTTTTCTAAAGGTATTTAGGTAAATATTCATATTTGTTTATATACTTTTGTCCATTACTGTATATCTATGTTACATAATATTAAAAATGGTTCCTCCTTCCTTTAGTGGTGTTTTTAATTATTGTTGTGTACGTGGACCACAACTAGAAAACTTCTGTGGGTAGTTACCAGAAAGACTTAACTCAGTCAGTATGTGCTCCATGATATAAGTCAAGATTTTATCGCAAATTGGGTATTCATAAACAAAAGCCAAAACGTTTATTGTCTATAACTAATGTAGGGGAAACAACTACATCTTATGACAACTCTACTAGTTTGGGGTGGCAGAATACCAAGTTCTGAGGAATTCCGAGAAGACATCATACAAAGGGCTCAATAGAATGTAAAATACAGACGCGAAACTATACTGAAAATAATTTTTTTCCTATCATGAGTTTGTGCAAGATTTGGTGAAATTAAGAACACTGTAAACAAAGATTGCCATGCCTAATATGCATCAGATAATATACATGAACTCGTGAAAACCTCTACCAGAATCGTTGAAAATGATGATCATATATGACATACTTTATTTTGGAATCGAGAATTCTGCATTCTACGTACACATATCTGCACTGTACTAACACGGAGGCACTAAATACATTAAATCTTTTTTAGATCATAAACCTGATAAGTTGAAATAATCTTCTAATTGACTTATCAGGAGAGTGGCATTAATGATTTATTGTTTATATGAAATATACCTTTTTCATTTTCTAAATTTTAAAGCATCCAGGATATCATTAATAATTATGCATTGGTATGTTATTTTGTTGCAGTTTTGTAAAAGCAATTAGTAATAGAAAAATAGAACACCATCTGGGTACACACTTTAATAAACTATATGATAAATATATTTTATAAATTAATAAGACACGTTTTCTCTATTAATAATGCAATTAATATCCTAAAATGTAAATGCCATTTGCTAGTCATGAAAGGTTTAACTGATGAATGAAGTAACGGAGGTTATGGTATCCGAAATCTATTTTACTTTTACTATACATAGCTTTTATTAACCACAAGGCAAAATATCAAGGCGAGACAGTCTGGACTCTTCTAAAGATATTTTTATGGCTTCTGGGTAGCTTCTTTGTTTATATGCTATTTAAAAAATCGTCCATAATATTCTGTTAGGAGCAGTTAAAAAGTGACTAACATAAGTGAACTAGTGGCTTCAGTAGCTCAATAGCTATCAAAAAATTGCAAAAAATATTTCTAGCATAGACTGGAAAGTGGCATCTCGAATTTTTGCCGTATATTCCAGAGAATATTTGTAATGATATTTTAATGCATTTGTATAAGAAGAATTATGTGATCTATTGTTTTAATGCTTGTTCCCTTTTTTATAATATAATGCTGTTGATATGTGATCGATTATATCATCGAAATATACGTAAATAAATATTTGAACATATTGATGGATATTTTATTTTTATTCAATCTTCGACAGTAGACATGAAGATACGATCAATATAAGTAAGTACGAAGAAACAGTCTCTAGAACTATACAGAGTAAAGAACAATTCAGTTAAAAAGTATTTATTGTATATAATAGTATGCACAGTACCATCTAAGTTAACATTTTTAAATGCATAACCACAAATCCCACTAGTGTTCCTTATTATTTTCCCTGACTGTACATATCAGGTAACCAAATAAGTTCATGCATACACATAAAAAGTTGCTGAAAATTGTTACATACCTAGTTTTAATAAATGAAAATGGCGACGAATAAAAGAGTAATTCGAAGTTGTTTACTGTATGAGTACAAACTTGGTACAAAAGCTGCAGCGGCGGCGCGAAAAATATGTACCGCATTCGGTGATGAGGTCGTTAGTGATCGAACAGCACAGAAGTGGTTCAAAAAACTTTCTTCGGGAGATCTCAGTTTGAGCGATGAACCGCGCTCAGGGAGTCCAAAAATCATGAACAACGAGGATTTTCGACAGGTTGTGGACGCAAATTCCAGGACGACGTGCCAAGAAATTGCAGAAATGAAACTATACTTTTGCATCTTCATCAGCTAGGAAAGACGTGGAAGTTACGCAAATGGGTCCCACATGAACTGACAAATGATAACAAATTAAGTCATCTTACCATTTGCTCAGCAATCATTTCACGCAACGCTAATGAACCATTTCTTAATCGGTTATTGACCTGCGATGAAAAATGGATCTTGTATTCGAATTCTAAGCGTTCGTATCATTGGTTGTCGCCTACTGATTCGGTACCACACACGTCCAAGGCTTCCTTGCACCCAAACAAGGTTTTGTGTGTTTGGTGGACAGCAACTGGAATTGTCCATTATGAGTTTTTGGAGAGTGGTCAAACCATCACTGCTAACTTGTATTGAGAGCAGCTTCAACTAGTACAAGCAGCACTCATCCAGAAACAGCCTTCTTTGATCAATCGGAAGAAAGGATAACACCAAGCCTCATACCGCAAAAGTAACCCGAGAAAAAATTTCTGAACTCGGCTGGGAAACGTTACCGCACCCGCCATATTCTACCGACATTTCGCCCAGTGATTATCACCTTTTTTGTCTCTTGACAACTGTATGAGGCACCGACAGTTCACAACTCGAGATGGTGTAATAAATGCAGTCCGCCCATTTTTTCTACAGTTCTCCAATACCGGCATACAAAAATTGGTTCCACGTTGGCAAAAGGTCATTGAATGTGATAGTAATTACTTCGACGAATAAATAGTGTCTTATTGTTTCTCAATAAAAATTTATATTTTTCTACTAAAAACCGCACGAACTTATTTGTTACCTGATAGATTGACTATAAATGTCGTTAAAAATGGTTTAAGGGGATGTAAAAATGGCTGGAACGCGAAACTTCATGATATACGAGTAACATGATAAAATATAATATATAGGGTGTACCAGAATAAGGTCAGACGCATATAGAACAATAAATGTCGTTCCTATAAGAAATATCATACTGAGATACAAGGCCCAACGTAATATTGTCAATTTTTTACACCCTGTATGTCAATGCATAGGTACGACTGACAACGCTTATTGGTTAAATAAGCAATTATAAGTTGAATAGCTATGAAATGACATACATGTTTTGAGAATAACTTCTATTTTCTAGCCCTACATAATACTGATTCAACAATAACATTTTTGAAAAGCCTGATCTTTGAGCTAGAAAAATGAACTCTTGTTTGAAATAGATAAAATGAACAGTTGTTGAAAAAACACTTGCTTCACTACAGTTCTTTTTGGCAGTGGATTTAGTATAGTATAGTATAGTGGAGTATCCTCGTTCCACCATAATCAGCGTGAAAAACCCTAGAAGATAAATTTTCAGACTACAGAATTAAGATTTAGATTTTATTTCTCACTGGCGGGGAAGTAATGTAACCGAGAAAATTTTCTAAAATGAGATCGGTTTTTTGGATATTATATAACATGTACATCAGGAAAAAACATGTCACTCATTTTTGTCGATTTGTCGCATGCCCGCTCATATTAAAACCGCCTTTACTGTTTTTTTACACCGAAGCAACCGCGCAGGTAGAAGCCTAAATGCCGCGGCTGCTACTAGGATCAGAAAGAAACTTTGTTAATCCGATTTTTGATCTGCCTAAGGTTAGTAAATCGGGGAAAAGCCTTCTTGTGTAGTTGTTCCACACTCTCGACACCCTAGGGACAAAGGAGCGGTCGTATCGACCAGTTCTGGATGTACGGAGGCCCTGAGACTGTCTGTTAGAGAAAAGTCATCGATCAGTCGGTCAGTCCACTTCTAGACATGAATAATGTAGTCGGGGCGGCAGCACCCCAAACTTCCGAAGTACCGTTCGGATTTCGATTAAATCTTTACAATGTTACTACTATGCCAAAGTCGCTAAAGCTTTGTCGTTTTGAAAATCAGTTCAGTGGCGGCAGAGCAAAACGCCAAAAACGAAAGGGAATGAAAATCGCTCAAAATCCAGAGGATCCTGATCATTTGAAAAAAAATGGAGGTGGGGGTTGTGGGAAGCGGGGAGGGTTTGTCTCAATGTTTTGATGTTACAACAACCTTGGTACTTATACACACCTAGTATACACATTTCATAGCGCACCCTTCGCTCTAACCCTGCTGCCATGTCTGACGGTGTTGAGCATCGCGGATAGGCGACGTCTCGAAATGCACTGCCGGTAGGGAACGGCAAGGACTAATTCAATGGACCTGTTTAAATGACGTTTTTTTTCGAGGGTCTAGTTTGTGCTGAACATAAAGAACTGATAACGGCGTTGCGTGGGAAGTGTCAACCTACTCGACGCCATTTTTTGTTGGACTTACTGGAAAATGGCTGCAGTGTAAATCGATGTGCCTGTTTTCTCAAAAACGGTCAACTTCATTGAATTCAAACAAAGATAAATACATTTTTAGGCTTAAAGACCAGGCTATTCAAAAATGTTTTCCTTGAGTCATTGTTAAACAGGTTCTAAACAAATTAGCAATACTACGTTATGAATGGTCAGTTCCAGTAGATCTAAATGAGGTGTTTTTCAGGAACCCCATCATGTGAGGTATAGGTTACTAAGTTGTCAAATTTTTGTTAAATTATACAGTGTCGTTGGGGAGTTATTTGAGAAAAACCGATTTCCAGTACTGTCGATATCCCGTAGAGGAGTCCTGTAAGATATTTTTATAGGACCTCTTATTCTAGGACACTGTATATAAATAGAAACAAGACGATGTTATTAATTAAAATATAGCGAACGCGTTGCACTTTGGTAAGTGCAACAGCTTCCAGCAAACTGAAAAACAATCTTCGAATTTTTTGATCGCTATAATTTACCTGTTCCTTTAGACATTTCAGGTTCTTCTATTTGTAAGACTTGAGGTAGGATACATACTAGATAAAAGGGGTCACTGAAATTAGAGTGAAAGATAAAAGTTCAACGCGCTCTACATAATTGATCAGTTTTTTGTTCAGCTACCAGCCTGGTTATCCACTTGGGTATCTCCACCCACAACTGACACGAGGTAAAAAAATAGAAACAATTTTTCTGGGTATTGTTAGATACAAGCTACTTTCCAATTTTGCAGTCTTTCTCTTCTAATTTTGGTCGTTTTGTTAGGGTCATCAAATGTTACGGATATCACCCTATATCTGACATTGGTTAACGTCCAATAAAAAAGAATGACATATGCTTTATAAAGCTTTGAAAACGATCCGCTTTTGAAAACTACAATACTGGACCTTAGGCCACACAGTATCAACGATTAAAATTGCGGTTATGGTACTTATACATTTAAGCATGTTTTTGTTATTATACCTAAGAATGTTTTTAATAGATTCTTGAAGACGTCAAAATTATGACGCATTTTATGCTCTCTTCAGTCAAGGAACCACTTTGATAGCATTGTCAGAACTTGACTTACATATTCCAGTACTATTGATTGGCGCGTATGAAAATGTAGGTAAAAAATATTTGTCGCATAAATAACAAAAAATACCAGTATGGACTTTGTAGACTAAAATTAATAATTTGTGACAATAGTATCATACATCAACCATAATCTTTTTCCTTTGGAAATATTTACATTTACATATTTAATTATGAAATGTTCTCATGTCCACAAAAAGTTCTTGATCTTTTTATATTCTAATCATAAATATGCTAGGTATTTCATATTTGATCACTGGGATCTCAGAAACTGTACACGTTACATGACCGGTAAATTTTATTTCTCCGATTTTAGAAACAATTCTAAAATATATTGCATGCTGACGTTGTCACTTTCACTCATTTATAAGATGCGGTACCTAAACAATTTCGTATTTCTTATGGCAATTGAGAGTAAAATGATGAAACCTCCGGCTGGAACACCCGACATGATAGGGAATATGCATGATTTTTATTTGTTTCACCTGGTGATTATATTAAATATTTAAAACTGTAATGCCAATGACCCTGATTTAACCGCCGCATTTTTGGCGTGCTTCGCAGTGACGTCACGGGCCCCGACAACTTATTTGATTGTTTTTGTTAGTTTGCTGTCGAGTTTTTGACATACCATTTATGAAATTATAAATTATTTATAGGTTATGTCTATTGCCATAAACAAAATTGAAAAGCTGGAAAATAATGTGAATAAAATATGTATCACTTGCTCACATTACAGCTTTCACTCCCCTGACTTCAGTTAATGTAAAATCTGAGTTTGAGGAAATATATATATATATACAGGGTGTCCGCAAAGTTGGGGTTTTCCTTTTCAGAAACAACTACCCTTGAAATAACAAAGGTAATGTGTAGTGAAACGAGGGCGACCAAGTAAAAAAAAATAAAGGAAAAAGTACTCACTCTCCAGTTGACGAGAAGGGCTAAGTTCGTCTCTGCCCGAAATCATACCGCTCCAACAGAAAATGAAATCAGCTGATGCGCTACCGAGCAGACGCCGGCGG